ATTTAAGGGCATCATCTTGCAATGTGCTGGTGTACCTCATCTGCTTTTCATCTTACCCCTTCAGATTGCTGCTCAGTTCTCAGCCATGAGCCCTGAAAGACCTAATCCGAGCACTGTTCTGATATGCAGAGGTTTTTTTATCACTGACTGAATTTAAAATCCCACATCTCCAGCTCATACAAATGAGGGCAGCTATTCACTGGAGAGCTGCTGATTTACGCCATGGAGGATCTGACCTGAAAATGTATAAACGTCTTTGAGATTCTTCATGAGAGATGCAAAAGACTATTAATAACAGTGTTTGTAACATGAAGGAAGAAGTGTGAAAACACAGACCGTTCCCCCCTGCAAACACTGAAGATATATGTTATAAATTTTAATTTGAATCTGTGTATGTCAGTTCTTTACCCGCTGTAACAGTATGGCTCTTCCAGGATGGCTCAGGAGGTGCTAAGTCTTGGCACACAAGGCTACCAAATGGCATCAGCTACTACCAGATTTTCCTGAGGAATGTGGTCCTTTCATTTTAATTAGCAACATTTTTCCTCTCACCCCTTGCACCAGCATCGGAGAAGACTTTGTGTCTGAGCCTTCAAATAGCTGAGCAGAAGGCGGTGCTGGGGAAGCAGTGTGTGCTTTGACAGAGGACTGAAGCTACGCTGAGCTGAAGCTGAGCAGCAGAAGGCTTGGTTGTATCAGCTTCTCCTAGGTGACATTGTTTGCTTTCTCTGGGTGAATGTTTTAAAAGGCATCTGTTGAAGTGTCTTGCAAAATTCGCACAACATATGTGCAGACTCCTATGCAAATATGAAGCACATCCCTTTTGAGCCTTGAGCTTTGTTTAAAACTTTGCCACAAACTCACTTTTTTTTGGTCTTGGGTATCATCCGCTCTCCTCCTTTTTACATGAAACGTTCTGCACCTCATATACTTTGAAACGGAAACTGTCTTCTCAGAACAGAAGCAGAGCAAGACACTTCAAGAAGACTTCAGATTTAATCTCCACACCGCAAGTTCTGGCTTTAGAAATCCTGGAACTGCTTCTGAGCCCTGTGCTTGCAGGAAGTTCACAAAGCACTGACAATGAAATGAGGATTTCGCTCAACTTCAAGTGACACTCTCTCCTTCCTAGACTTAACAAAGCAGTTGAGTGCAGGCGTAAAGCAGAGCAGTGAATCCATATGTCTGCTCAGAGGCCAGCTGTAATTGTGGTCCCCAATGAACACAAGTGTTTGCAGCCCCTAAACTCCATATCGGTAACGTGTCAACCGCAGGCGATATATCCTCAGGATACAGGTTGTAGGAGGAAACCTGTTTCTCTGGCAGTCCGTCAGTGCAGGCACTGCTCCTTGTTCCTCAGGTGCAGAGCTCTCTGGCATTCTGTTCCAGGCCGGCACTTTCTCAAGGCTTAATGCAAGAGCTGGTACTGAATGGAGCATGGGAGCTATTCTGAGACTGGCCCATGAGTCCCACTGGTTCGCATGGAAATACAGAGTTTGGACTTGCCCAGCAATTCTGGCTAGTGAAACAGAAGAAATGCACAGTTCTTGCTTGGTAGATGTCCAAGAAGAGTCATGTAAGGGAAGAGTTGTTCTCCACAGAGATGCCTTCTCCTTTCCTGAGCTTATCATAGAATGTTTTGGGATGGAAGGAACAATTAAAGCTCATCTAGTCCAACCATGTAGTGAGCAGGGACATTTTCAACTAGACTAGGTTGCTCAGAGAGTTTCCCAATTTGACCTTGAATGTTCCCAGGGATGGAGTTTCTACCACCTCTCTGGGCAACTTGAGCCAGTGTTTCGCTGCCCTCATCATAAAAAGTGTCTTTATATCTAGTCTAAATCTACCCTCTTTTAGTTTAGAACCTGTTGCTGTGCTAAAAAGGTGATGCCCACCTTTCTTATAGGCCCCCTTTAAATGCAGCCTAGTGAGTTTTTGGCAGGGCTATGCCATGCTACCGGCCCTGACAGGGACTGGGGCAACCCAGCCCTCTTGTCAGAACACTGTGAAACCATTGATGTTTTGATGCTCAGTAGATGAGGAAATGCAGCCGAGTCGAGCCCTTTCC